TTTTTCTTTCTTTTTCTTTTTGTATATTAACTGCATCCACCTGCAAAAAAGACTAAAAATAATGAAATAATAATAAAAAAGAAAAAGCCAACTCTTAACAATATTAACTACGAACAAGGCCACAATGTGCTAACCATATTCGGAAATTAAAAACATTTCTACTACACACTAAGACATACACAGAACGCACACACTCAATTAAGCTGAAAAATCGAATCAACCTTGACAATGGCTAAAGGTATAGCCGAAAGCGCTCGGAAATATAAAACATTCGGACAGTTCTTACACACCCTTTGTACAGAAAAGAAAGCTCTTGTTAGAACACAAGAAAAATTCAATAAAAAGCTTAACCGTAGTACCTTGTCTGTCGTTTTTAATGAAACGTGCATATATATATATATATATATATATATATATATATCAACCAACCAACACTCAACAAAATGTATTATGGATATAGTAACAAAATATTCAAGTGCATATAACTTTTAATGCCATTTTACATTTCTATCAATTTCCGGTCAGCTCCCTTATATTGGGACGCTTGTTTTGAAAAAAGTTCTATAATTACAACAGATAAATTTTAAATTCTAAAACAACTATAACAGAACGCGATCGCGCATGTTTTTTTTAAAATCACTATTACAACAGAATGCAGATTTTATCGCAATTACAATAAGATTATCTTTATAATTTACCCCTGAAGGTGATCTTAGAATAGGTCGAAAGTACTTGGATTAAATACAAATTTCGGCGCCTTCTTTGATGAATTTCATCTTACCATCAAGGAACTGATTAGACAACAGGAACTGATCAGTATAAAGAGAGAGAGAGAGAGAGAGAGAGAGAGAGAAAAGAAAAAAGAGAGCCGTACTAAATCCGAACCCACACCGAGGGGGAGTCTGATTGGGGCACCCGGGCAGTGCTTTGTAACCCTCAACATTTGCTTTTTTCTACCTACATTTATATATGTTACAATTTTAAAAGGATGAACAATTTTCGCTGATTTTGACATCATCCTGAGGATGTTGTTTTTTTTGTATCCAAAATCCGTGAATTTGTCTTGTTTTTGCGAAGTCGCGAAAAAATAAATATAAATTTCACTATTTTTTTTATCCATAATGTTCAATGTGCTAAAATTGTTCATCTTTTTAACAAACAAATCTCAAGTCTGTGTTAAAAATTACCGCAAAACATTGTTAATTTCTTTAAGATGGAATGAGTTCTTATGACATGTCTCTAATTTGTATTTAGATACATTGGATTTATCTTCAATTTTTTCTAGTTGAATTGTTCACCTATATTTCATATGATACATTATTGTACATGATTAGGTTGCAATAACATTTCTATTTAATATGAATATTACATTATGAAAATTGAAATGTTAGTATAGTGGAATGGGGGCGTATCAAATATTCAGGGGGTTCTATTATAGATTCGGGGTTTAGTGCACGATACCCTTGCACCGGCCATGTATATATACAGTCGTGTTGATAGGTTTTATTAGGTTGGTGCAAAAATAATGACGTAATAATGTCGTTTTGACGTTAAAAATACGTCAAAAACGACATTATTACGTCATTATTGCACCAACCTAATCTTATAGTAAGTTCAGGAGCCACTAGCGGTGATTTGGGTGCGTCTCTGGGAAATTCAATGGGTCCCAACTAAAATTTCTTAATAAATTTTTGCGTTAAACTGCAGGGCTACAGTGTATTTTTTTTTTTTTTTTTTTGCATCTTTCCAAAAAAACTATTTTAATCATTCGGAATCACTTAAATTGAGAGGATATTTTTTTTTTTTAATTAAATTAAAAAAAATGAAAAAATACAGTATCTACACTTAATCACAGTTCAAATAAGAACCTATATATATATATATATATATATATATATATATATATATTAGGTTGGTGCAAAAATAATGACGTAATAATGTCGTTTTTTGACGTATTTTTTAACGTCAAAAACGACATTATTATGTCATTATTTTTGCACCAACCTAATATATATATTTCTTTTTTGAGAATTATGACAGAACAAAACTTTCAAATTAACAGGACAAAAGTTTTTTTTCTTTTTTTTTCAATTGAATCAAAAAATCTAAAAAGAAAATAGTATTTAAATTTACGGTCGGCAAATATGAGTGTGTTCAGGTGCGTCAAATATATTTTAAAAATAGCGAAACAAGAACGTTTTTGGTAAGGGAACATTGGTTTCATGCCATCCATACATCCTACTCGCCAATGAAAAAAGGAAAGAGGAAGAACTCGTAAAACGTATTTGAAAGAATATGTGAAAGCTATCACTTTTTATAGGAAACTTTAGTTGCGTCCATGGAACGCACAGATGGATGAGTCTTTTAAGATTGTTATGCGCCAGGGACACAGTATGCACACCCAACCATCTCTCTCCCCCTCTCTCTCTCTCTCTCTCTCTCTCTCTCTCTCTCTCTCGTCATATATATATATATATATATATATATATAATGTTTTGTTTTTGTTATCTCAATGAGAATCTGCAGGAGAGATGGATCAGGCGCGGTGGAGTTGAAGACAGTTTTCTGATAAAATAATCGTCGCGGTCACTAGACCTGTCCCTGGGTGATTTCTCTTTATGGGGATATGTGAAGGGAGTGGTCTGTCCCCTCTCTTCCTGCTAGAAGAATCACTTCCGCATTGGATAATGCTACCGGAGACATGCTACAACGTGTTTGGCAAGAGCTTAACTACCAACTTGACGTGTGCCGTGTCAAAGGCAGTGCACATATTAAACACTTATGACATCGCTCCCATAATAAACTTATGATGTTTAACACCTAAACTGTTGAACTAGACTTACTAGTTTTCAAGATAATTGCTTTTAAAATGATGTCAGTTTTTGGGGAGACCTATATATATATATATATATATATATATATATATATAAATATACTCTTAAGGTGTGCTATATTTATGGGATAAAGTGCTCAATATCAGAAATAGAACGCGTGTATAAAAGTGAACATTGAAGTCAACACTTAGGCGACAAGCTGTTTCATGCTAGACGCAATCGTCAGGACCCTTGACGTTGCGTCTAGCATGACTGTTGCCTCTAAGTGTTGACTTCAATGTTCACTATATATATATATATATATATATATATATATATATATATATATATACAAGTATATGATTGGTGTATACGGAATAAATTCCAATAACAAACAATTACTATTCTTAAAAGAGTGCTCAATACAGAGTAGAGCGCATATAATTATTTATTTAAAAATTATAACATAAATATGTTATAAAATCACTACAAAAATAGCCATTTTGTTTTCTGGTGTCTTATCAAGTGATGATGTTGAATGTAGATTGAATAAAGGTTTTAAAAGGTTCAAATTAATTAACCACCCCTCGTAAGGGGAAACGCTGTCACATGAGCTGAAATGACCAATCAAAATATACGAGAATTCAAAAAACTTGACTACGAAGTACGGTTACAGTAACTATTAAATGCTAAAAAGTTAGGTTTGATGCCGACGAAAATTCACCTTTCAATAAGCTAAACACATTTTTTTCTACATACAACGTGTGAAAGCATCTGCAATACCTTGCCATCGTCATTAACTAAGGAATGTAACACAGTTTCGGTGGCTAAGGCGGTATTGCCACCCCTGGCGCCATCAGCAACTTTTGTCACCGGACAAGGTATTGCTTTTTTGTGCGTGTGCAAACATGTAAATGTCTCGTGATTTTTACAAATGCAAGTCAGATATTTAACGTTGTGGTAAAAGCGTTTACTTTTGATTGTTGATCAATACACAACGCGCTCGCTACGGTATCCTGTTAGAGCAAAAAGAGGAAGAGGGTTTTCCACTATTTTCTTTGATACTGGTTTTTGGTAAAAACATCCTGTGAAAAATGATCTTGAATAGAAAATCAACATCTTCTATTACAGAACTCAAGATAAACTTTTCCGAAAGCGAAACTATGATCTGGCAGTGAAATGACAGCAGTGATGGCACATAACACGAATCCAACCTAAAATTTCAGGACATGGAATTATTAGGTTGGTGCAAAAATAATGACGTAAGAATGTCGTTTTTGACGTTAAAAAATACGTCAAAAAACGACATTATTACGTCATTATTTTTGCACCAGCCTAATAGTAAATGCCGAACACTTCAAATATGTAAGGGTCAGGTATAACAAATTTAGTTTAGAACAATAGGAAATTGAACAGAGATTAGGCTACGTAAGAGGTAGTTTCTCACAATACCGCAAGTTGCTACAAAGCGAAAATATCGACCCGAAAACTCGAGTCATTAAGTAGCCTCGTTAGATCCAGACATTCATATGGATATCATGCATAAGCGCCAGACCTGATCAGAAATATCTAAACTGGCTGCTGTAAACTACCTCTGCCTAATATCAATAGCACCCAATAACCAAATATCAGAGACCACATCACTTAAGGACTACCAACAGTAGTAACAGCTAAAATGAATAGCACCTGTAACTCAAAGAGAAAATAATGACATGTTTAATTTTCACACTTTTTCAAAAAAAAAAAAAGGTTAGGAGCGAAACGCCATCAGTACTCGAAAAAGCGATAACAGCTAGCGAGACTTGCCAAAAATCATCCTGCTTTGAACATTGTGGATCGGCGTTACAGAATCGCAATATACTGTACCAAATAACAGGAGCCACATCAATTGAGGACGACCAAGAGAAGAAACAACTGAAATGGATAGCAGATGTAAGCTCGAAGAGAAAATAATGACATAATCAAGATGTTAATATTCCACACCACATCAGAGAGAAGGTTCCAAAGGAAAATCCCATTAAGACGGGAAAGAGCGATAACAGCTACTGAACTTGTTTTTCTAAAAAATGTTTTACGAGAAAGGTTGTATAAATTTCAACCTGCAGTAAAATTGGCTGCTCGGTCAATGAATGCCAAATGTTTCCTTACCATTTTCTTGACTTAATTTTCTCTAAAAATACCCCAAGTATGACGCAAACTAATTATAGAGAGAAAAATATTCCAGTCTGTTCAAATCTATCTATCTATCTATCCCGGCCACTTCATATCTCTCTCTCTCTCTCTCTCTCTCTCTCTCTCTCTCTCTCTCTCTCTCTATCTATCTATCTATCTATCTACCTCAGTCTATTTCAACCTATCAATTTATCTGCATAGCTATCTATCCATATCGTTCAATGTGAGTCTATATATTTCAGTCTGCATATCAGTCTATCTATCTATCTATCTATCTATCTATCTATCTATCTCAGTCTATTTCAACCTATCTATTTATCTGTATAGCTATCTATCCATATCGGTCAATCTCAGTCGATCAATTTCAGTCTGCGTATCTATCTATCTATCTATCTATCTATCTATCCCGGCCACTTCATATCTACCTCTCTCTCTCTCTCTCTCTCTCTCTCTCTCAGTCTATTTCAACCTATCAATTTATCTGCATAGCTATCTATCCATATCGTTCAATGTGAGTCTATATATTTCAGTCTGCATATCAGTCTATCTATCTATCTATCTATCTATCTATCTATCTATCTATCTCAGTCTATTTCAACCTGTCTATTTATCTGTATAGCTATCTATCCATATCGGTCAATCTCAGTCTATCAATTTCAGCCTGCGTATCTATCTATCTATCTATCTATCTATCTATCTATCTATCTCAGTCTCTTCATATCTACCTATCTAGTTATGTATCTATGTATCTCAGTCTGTTCATCTATGTGTTTCAGTCTGTTCATATCTATCTATCTATCTATCTATCTATCTATCTATCGCAGTCTCTTCAATATCTATCTATCTATCTATCTATCTATCTATCTATCTATCTATCTATCTATCTATGCCAGTCGGTTCATATAGGTAGATAGGAAGCGACTAAATAGATAGATAGATAGATAGATAGATAGATAGATAATGAGAATCCGTCATAGATAGATAGATAGATAGATAGACTTCAATGTGCAGATGCTAATGACATTTAAACGAGTAAATGACGGAACAAACTGAACGATTGTTTTTTTTTTCCCTTGTTTCTGTTAGTGACGCACGCTTTTTCTACTTCCTGTTAAAAAAAAGGGCCTTTCTTCTTCATGTTCTATTTGATCTATTGTTCCGTCAACCAAACGTCGCGTCCTGAGATTCCACGCCTTAAATCTGAATTAACCATAATGCTCTTCACGTCGTCATTCCGTCCATCTGTTTTCTATGAGCGTAAGATCGTTTTTATTGACCACATTATTTTTTATTTATTTATTTATTTTTTGCCATTTACAGACAATATACAAAACTGGCAGGCGGTTAACGAGAGAGTCTTTCCGATGTTCTGACGACAAGACTCTCATCTTCAGTATAAAAATTAGTGGTTTTAAATGTGTTTTCTTCTCCAGCATCCCTTGTAAGATATTTGTGCGGGCTGGTACCAACTTTGTTAATATTACACTGTTAAATGGGGCAGAGGTAATGTCACGTGTTTACATAAAAGAATTAGAGCAGCTCTAATCACCGGAAGTTAAGCGGTAGTGGGGACAGCTAAGCGGAAGTCTCTGGAGCAGGCCATAGAAGAGGCCGGACATTAACTTACATGCTTTTGTCCCATGCACATAATGTAATTGGAGTTAATATATATATATATATATATATATATATATATATATATATATATATATATATATATATATATATATATATATATAAAGCCATATCCAAAAAGTGTGAAGTTGCATAATAGTAATTGCGACCAGATTGATTTTTTCACGGTTTGTCAATTCTTTGTGCGTTATTTAATGCCGAAATTATTTGGTATTATTAGAATAATTCTTTGTTTGCGAATAAATATTGCATTAACTATTGTGTGAGAATGATTTTCTAGATACAAATCCAACTATTTTAACCAGTGTTCCCCGTCACAAGATTTTTAAGTAAATGAAATATCTAGGAGAAAATGAAAATATCACGGCACATTGAGCAAAAATTTTAAAGGGTATACATATAAATGTTATGAAATAAAACCATAGATTTTTTTTTAAATTCACCCACAGATATGGTTAATATTTATTTATTCAAATAAATATGAATTTTAAAAGGTTAAATTCAGAAAAAATACATTTTAAAAAATGATTAAGACAAACTATTTAAAATAACATAATCGTAAAATTGTGAAAAGAATTATTTGAAAAATTGTTTATTTATTTATTTAAATACTAACATTATACTCTTACTACTTATACACACATATTTAATGTGTATGCCGTGATAATATTCCACCCCACGCGGTTTGAGAATCAATTATTTAACCCACAGCTTGGAGGAGAGATGAATTCTTGACTTTTCAGATGAATGCAACGAACATGGAATCTGATCCCGACTGTCAGAACTCTAATTTCGTGCCGTTATCCATTGTAACATTCGGGCATCTATGCCTCTATCTATCTATCTATCTATCTATCTATCTATCTATCTATCTATCTATATATATATATATATATATATATATATATATATATATATTTCTGTAGTTTCCTGCTACCAGCAAGCAGAAATATTTCTCCTCCCGATGATGGCCATTTTGGTCGAAACTTGTCGAGGAATCTAAATGAAATAATAATAAAAAAAAACGAAAGAATATTAATCTACAACCCAGTGTGTCTAAAGATTTTAATTTTTAATATTTTTTATTGTTCAATATATATATATATATAGATAGATAGATAGATAGATAGATAGATAGATAGATCCTGGCTCTCAACAATTTCCTGTCATTTGTATCACTCACTAAATTGTGTCTTTTCGCAATCTCTGTTCTGACAACCATTTACTCAAGCCCTTTCTTCTTCTATATATCCCTACAGGACGTGGATGGACATGGTTCTCCACAATTTCCTTTCCTTTATAACTCTTAGTAAATTTTGTCTTTTTGCTATCTCTTTTAATCGCTGTTCTGCCAACCATTTACTCAAGCCCTTTCTTCTTCTATATATCCCTACAGGACGTGGATGGACATGGCTCTCCACAATTTCCTTTCCTTTATAACTCTTAGTAAATTTTGTCTTTTTGCTATCTCTTTTAATCCTTTGTTCTGCCAACCATTTACTCAAGCCCTTTCTTCTTCTATATATCCCTACAGGACGTGGATGGACATGGCTCTCCACAATTTCCTTTCCTTTATAACTCTTAGTAAATTTTGTCTTTTTGCTATCTCTTTTAATCGCTGTTCTGCCAACCATTTACTCAATCCCTTTCTTCTTCTATATATCCCTTCAGGACGTGGATGAACATGGCTCTCCATAATTTCTTTTTCTTTATAGCTCTTAGTAAATGTTGTCTTTTCGCTATTTCTCCTAATCCCGGTCCTGCCAATCATTTAGACAAACACGCTAAATAGGTTATGCTTTGCTTTCCTCTGATCCTCTTGTCTGCAATATCTCCTGTAAATGTCCAAATTTCTAATCTCCCTATCTTCTTCATATGTCCTGGAATTTTCTATAGTCTCTTTCTGATTCCAATTTTCAGTGTCCTTTTTGTTTCCACTTACTCTGAAACTTTGCTCACATGTTAAGTCTATGACATTCTCAGCATCTTTCTGTAGAACTCGAGCGTCTGGGAGATATGAGCTTGTAGTCGATGTTTTATCCAACGATTGTACTGGATTCTCTCTCGGACAAGGGCGTGTCCCGCTTTCTCTGCGACCAGACGGGCTCTCCTCGAATTGACGAGAAGTCTTGGTGCCAAGCCTGAAGGGATGAGTTGTAGGTCTCTGCATCGGTGTAGGAATGACAGATGGTTCGATATTCGTGCCAGTTTCTGGTAGGATTTTTCAATTTGTCTCCATATTTTTGGTATATCGGGTCCGTACCGATCCTTCAGAGTCTGTCTATATTTCTGAGAGGTATTATGTACATTATTTACATTATTCGGACTATTGTCCTCATTTTTGTCGCCATATTTATCACAACGTTTCGGCCGTTATACGCTCCAGCCTTCTTCAGGTGGTTGGAATGTCGAACTGAACCCATTATTTCGCTCACTGGGGTAGATTCTTCTAGTTCCACGTACCATGTTTGATGGATGTCAGTTATCAGTTATCTCCTGTTAATTTTCCTCTGAAATTTCTCCACTGCCTTAACCGGGTATTGAACTCACACTCTTTGGGTCCTGTCACTGGATCTGAAGAAGGCCGGAGCGTACAAAGGCCGAAACGTTGTGATAAATAGGGCGACAAAGATGAGGACAATAGTCCGAATAATGTAAATAATCGTTTCTTTGTTTCTAACGAGATTTTTTTCTGTTTCTTTATACTTTGCTTAATTTTTAGAAGACATCTTTCGCTATCCGCCCTCAGTTAAATTTCTTGCCAAATATTTAAATGTTGCTTGATCTTGTCATCTTCAGGTTGTCATTCACCTGCCGGGCTTTTTTTTTAATGAAAACCATGCAGTCTGTTTTCTTGCATTTTGTGATTAGTCCTTTCTTCTCGCTTTCCCTTACGACCTTCTGTAGGTTTTTCTATACTTACTCTTTTGTGTATGCTATCGGCACCGTGTCATCTGTACAACTTAAAGAGTCCAAAATCGTCAAATTATTTTCCCTCCTGCAGTCCTTCTCTCACAGACGACGTTGTAAGCCTCGCGCTGCTCTATCGTTATTTTCATGAAAAGTGCTCGGACGAACTACAATTCCACCACTTCTTCACGACTGAGGCCCCTTATGCCACGTACATTTTACCGAACCATCCTCATTTCTTTATTGGTGAGATGTAAGTTAGACTCGAGCAATTTCTTCCTGCTTTTTGGAACCAACTCCCAAGAGAATATCTATCTGTATTTCTGAGATGAGGTATTTTAAATATTCAAATTATTTACATTGTTCGAGCTGTTGTCCTCATCTTTATTGTCCCTGGAATAAATGCGTTGTTTGGATCCAGTGACTTTACCCAAAGAGTTGTGAGTCTAATACCTGGCGATGACAGTGGTGAAAAAAAAACTTGGCGTGTTGAGTTAAAGGGAGATAACCAAGATATTCGGAAGAGGCATGGCTGATGGAACTAGAACAATCTACCCCGGTGGATAACATAAATGGTTCAGTTCGAAATTCCATTCACCTGAAGAAGGCCGGAGCGTACAACTGCCGAAAATTCGTGAACATGACAATAAAGATGAGTACAACACTTCGATCAATGTAAGTAATCCCAATAATACTAAGAGGTTTTTTCCCCGATTGTGTTTTTCTTTATAATGTTTCAAAAGGAAAATTTCCCCTGCTAATATTTATAGCCTCATCCACATGTAAAAAATAAAAACCTAAAAATAATCATGGAAGCATTAAATAAGAAAAAAGAAAAAGTCAACATTCAACAGCATTAATTATGAACACGGCCATAATGCGCTGACAGTGTTTGGAAAATTAAAAAAAAACTAATTTCCGTCACTCTAGATATGTTCATCTGGTTCACAACCCCCCCACCCAAGTTTTTGAACAGGAGTAGTGCTTTAACCCTTGTTCCCTGTTTAGGATTGGGTTTCCGGTTCCTTCTCTTTTACTTCCGGTGACCCCTTGCGTTTTGGTGACATTATCACTTTGCTTGAAGTGGTGCCTCTTAATCTGTAATCCTCTATCTCGAGTGGCTCTCGGGGCTTTTACAGGTTGAACATCATTGTTTAAAAAAAACAGAATTCAGCATAGAGCATCTATATCCTCCTCATGCATATCAGTCAGTTATGCGCCAACGCGTGATACACGTTTAGGCGATCATGTATCTTTCGATACATAACTGACGAGGCAGATTTTTTTCCCCGCAGTAGGTTGCCATTTCTTTCTGTTGTAGACCAGTTGCCATCCAAAGCTAGAGAACTCGGTCTGTCCTGCTATTTACCCATATCTGCGGGAGTGGGGAGAAGAGGAATCATATCTTTTCCAAGGTTATTAAAACGTAAGTGAATGTAATGGATTCGAGTGGAAAGTCAGCCATGCGTGATACACTCTTAGGCCATCATGTATCTTTCGATACATGACGAGGCAGAGTTTTTTATCCCGCAGTTGGTTGCCATTTGTTTCTGCGGTAGACCAGTTGCCATCTAAGGCTATAGAACCCGGTCCGTCCTGCTATTTACCCATAACTGGAGGGAAAAGAAGAGGATTCATACCCTTCCCAAGAGTATTAGCACGTAAGTGAATGTAATGGATTCGACTGGAATTTGAACTCGGCTCTGCGATTCCTCAATCCAAGCCGCTATCCATTACTCCACGGTGTCTCCTTCTCACGCATATATCATCCCTTAACTTAACAAACGCATTCTTAAGCGAGGTAGATACGCACACTTCTATCTGTAAGGATAGAAGGCCATGTTGGAATACAATAATTTAATTTATATTCATTGTCATTGCCATTCACTAGAGTTTACGATTTCCCGTTTTCATCGCTGGGCGGGGTGCTGTTTTTATTTGTTTGTTTATGGATTTATTCATTAATGCCTGGCATTGATTTAACTTTTGGAGCTCATTCTACATTTCCAATTTGTCTTGTGTTCTTCATTTTTTTTCTTGCTTCAGTTTCTTTGTCCATTCTTTCATTTACTCATCAATTCACATTATTGCTTTTTACTATTTGTTTTCTTTCTTTAAACTTTTTCATTCGTCACGAATTTGTTTTTGTTTTTTTTTATTTTGTCATTTAGTACATTCTTTTTACCTTTCTTTCTTTTGTCTGCAATTTATTTATTCCTTATGTTTTTTTCTTTCTTTTGGTCTACTTTCTTTTTCATCTTGCCTTATTTGCTACTAGTTTTTGCCTTTCTTTCAGTTTTTCTTTCGTAATTCATCGACTTTTTTCTTTCTTTTTTAAACTCTAGCCTTTATTACATTTGTTTACATTTTTCTTTACATTTATTTCGTTTTTTCTTTCTCCCTGTCTTTCTTTCAATTCTTTCTCGTCTTTGTTTGATTATTGTTTTTTTTTTTCTTGGTTCCTTTGTTTATTTTTTTACGTTCTTTCAATCTATTTATTTCTACGTTTTTTTTTTCTATTCTCGACCTTTTCTATTTTTTCTTTCTTTCTTTTTTTTTTTTTCTTAATGCTCGGTTATTTCTGTATTTCTTTCTTTCTTTCTTTCTTTCTAACTTCACTTATTTTCTGTCGTCGGCTGTTTCTTTCTTTTTTCTTTCTTTTGTCTTCTCGATGCTCGGCTGTTACTTTTTTCTTTCTTTTTTTATTTTCCTATGCTCAGCTATTGATTTCTTTCTTTCTTTCTTTCTCCTCTATGCTCAGCTCTTTCTTACTGTCTTTCCATTTCATTCGACCTTTCTTCTCTATCCTCGTTTTCTTTCTTTCTTTCTTTCTTTTTTTATTTTCATTTCGTTCTATCTTTCTCCTCTATCCTCAGTCCCCTTCTTTCTTTCTCTCTCTCTCTCATTCTTTCTTGCTTTCTTTCTTTCCTTTCATTTCATTCCAGTTTTCTTCTCTATCCCCGATTTCGTTCTTTCTCTATCCCTTCCTTCCCCCTTTCTTTATTTCTTTATTTCCATTTCCTTATAGCTTTTTTCTATATCCTCGTTTTCCTTTCCTTCTTTCTTTCTTTCTTCCTTTCTTCCTTTCTTTCTTTCTTTTTTTCTTTCTTTCTTTATTTATTTATTCATGTATTTATTTCCATTTCATTGTAGCTTTCTTCTCGATCCTCGTTTTCTTTCTTTATCTTCTCTTTCTTCCTTTCTCTCTTTATTTCTTTCCATTTCATTCTTACTTTTTTTTCTCTATCTTTGGTTTCTTTCTTTCTTTCTTTCTTTCTTTCATTCTTTCTTTCTTTCTTTCATTCTTTCTTTCTTTCTTTCTTTCATTCTTACTTTCTTTCTTTCTTTCTTTCTTTCTTTCTCACTTTCTTTCTTTATTTACTTCTTTCCTTCTTCCTTTCTTCTCTGTTGTCGGCTGCTTCTTTCTTTCTTTCCTTTCTTTCCCCCGATGCTTAGCTGATACTTTTTTCTTCTCTATGCTTCTTTTATTGACGCTCAACCATTTTTTCTTCCATCTTTTTCTTCTTTCATCCCCCAACAAATAACAAATTTTTCTCGTTCAGGACTTTTGATTTCAAACTCTTTTACACTCACTCCAAACAAGTGCTTCTTGGATTTATTAATATTCCTTGAAACATGCATGTCATTATCCATTCTCGGGAATTATTGACACTTTATTCATTCTCTGTGTAATATTTCTTATTTAATTTTGATATTTTTTTATATTTCTTTTTATCATGACTAACATTGTATCTGTGTTCCTATGCATTTTAGTACGTTTTCTGCCACTCTTTCTATCTCCTCACTTGTCTCTCTTAATCTATCTATCAATGTATCTGTATTTATCTATTCATATCTATCTATCTATCTATCTATCTATCTATCTATCTTCATTCATTTTTTCATTCATTTTCTTTCATTCATTTTTTTCTTTCATATGATTAAATAATGATGAACACGTCATTTTCATCACGATTCTTCCGTTAAGCTTGGAAAGTAATTATACATTCTTACTTCTCAAAGTAGAGTCCAGTAGTGTTATAAAAACCTCGGAGAATTCCAGTAAGATATCTTTAATCATTTCTACGATACAACGGTTCAAACCTTAATCTGACAAATGGAAAATTTTGCTTTTACACGATTTGGACAATTTTGCTATATATATATATATATATATATATATATATATATATATATCAGAGTCTGTCTATATTTCTGAGATGAGGTATTATGTACATTATTTACATTATTATTATTATTACATCTTTTTCGCCATATCTATCACAACGTTTCGAACTAGAACAGTCTACCCCAGTGAGCGAAATAAAGTGTTCGTTCAACATTCCAACCACCTGAAGGCCGGAGCGTACAACGGCCGAAACGTTGTGACAGATATGGCGAAAAAGATGAGGACAATAGTTCGAATAATGTAAATAATAATATATATATATATATATATATATATATATATATATATAATATGTGTGTGTGTGTGTGTGTGTGTGTGTCGTCATTAGATGTGACGTGCCTTAGATCGCTCGGCCACATAGGACATCCTGATCAAACAAAACCCGAATACTGCTCTTGAATACATATCTTCCTGATTCTCGAAATATACATAGCTGATCTGTTTCGTATCCTTGCCTAAGCAAAGATATTTTTCAGGGAAAGGATTAAATCAGACATATTTTTAATTTACCGTAATTCCCCATGTATAATACGCCTTCATCCGTAATACGTAATTGTGCTTAAAGTGTGGGGAAAATGCTTCTACTCACGCATAATACGCACACCTTGTTTGGTAATCAAACCCTATCAATTGTACATCTGCGATTGCATTACGGCTAGCGTTTCCTATTCATATTAAAAATTTGTTTTAAACATAGAATAATATTATTCTAATTTAGTTTTATGATAATTTTTATTTTATTTAACATTTGTAAATATTTTTAGGTACATATGATTGAATTTGACATCCGTGTGGGGTCGCAATCGCCGAATGTTAGTGTCAAATTGTCGTATGTTTGTGGTTAGTAGTCATTTCGTAATTGAAATCGACCTATGAAGAGGCAATTTTGTAAAGATTTTTTGTTGCTGTGCATAATACGCAGACCTTATTGCTTATTATTTTTATGAAGAAAAATGCGTATTATACATGGGGGAATTACGGTAAATGTTATTTTAAATTGATTCCCAAATTTGTGTAGCTGCTCAAACGTTTAAACAAATAAATTATAATTCTGTCGCTTTTTTTTAATCCAGTTCCTAAAAACTGTCTTTGTTTACGTTAGAAAAAGAGCAGATTATGTATATTTCTAGAATCGGCAAGATATGGTTTCAAAAGCAGAATATATATAGGATTTCCAGTTCAAGCAAATCTTCATTGGTTTTCTTTCATTTATTTTTAGATCTTTTTATAACGTTTCTTCGACTCGTCTTTTGTCTTTTGTTGCTTGGGTCACTCTGTGTTTCAATAATTTTTTTCTTCGCTTCTTTTTCTTTCGCATTTCATTCCCTCATCCCTACCATTCTCTTCTTATCTAGGCAATTCTTCGTTCATTTTTTTCATTAGAACTTTTATTCGACTCCCATTGCCGTGTCTATGTGTTTAACTAGATTTCCCGCCTTTTTTTCATCTCTCTCTCTCTCTCTCTCTCTCTCTCTCTCTCTTCGTTCATTTTCTTTTAAATCATTTGATTTTTTTCATAATTTTCCTTCGAATTGCATTGTCTGTCTGTGCGTCTATATGTTTTTGTTTCCCGCTTCTTCTTCTTCCTCTTCTTCTTCTTCTTCTTCTTCTTCTTCTTCTTCTTCTTCTTCTTCTTCTTTCTCTCTCTCTCTCTCTCTCTCACTTCGTTCATTTTCTTTTATTCATTTTAATGTTGTATAGCTTTTCTTCGACTGGCATTATCTGTCTGTGTGTCTATGTATTTCACTAGTTTTCCCGCCTCTTTTTCTTGTTTTTATTGTTGTTGTTGTTGTTCTTCTTCTTCTTCTTCTTTTCTTCTTCTTCTTCTTTCTCTCTGTCTCTCTCTCTGTCTCTCTCTCTCTCTCTCTCTCTCTCTCACTTCGTTCATTTTCTTTTATTCATTTTAATGTTGTATAGGTTTTCTTCGACTCGCATTATCTGTCTGTGTGTCTATGTATTTCACTAGTTTTCCCGCCTCTTTTTCTTGTTGTTGTTGTTGTTGCTCTTCTTCTTCTTCTTCTTCTTCTTCTTCTTCTTCTTCTTCTTCCCCCCTCTCTTTCTCTTCGTTCATTTTCTTTTATTTAACGTTGATTCGACTCTCACTGCCTTTCTATAGTGTACTAAAGATTCCCGCTTTTACCTCTTTTATACTTCATTCCTGACCCTTAACCCTGACACCCAGTCGCCATCTTTCTTTGCCAATTTCCCTTCATTCAATGGTTGTTGTTTTTTTGTCATTCATTCGTTGATTAATTTTACTTATGTCCTAATTATGTGCCTCCCGTCTCTCCTGTTCTTCTCCATTATTTAACCTCTCACCATCTCTCTTTTTTCGTCATCTCGCCGTCCATCTATCCACCTATTTGCTGTCACCCTTTCAACTGCTAAACGTCTCTCTTTTTACGACCGCTAATCTCCCCCATTTCCATCCCCTTGTTATATTCACAGTCCCTCTTTTCAACTCCCTGTCATCTCTCTCTCTCTCTCTCTCTCTCTCTCTCTCTCTCTCTCTCTCTCTCTCTCTATGAATAATCTATTTATAGTCTCTATTCTCTCTTAACATTTCTGCTTCTTCACTATTGCACTTTTCATCTTCTCGCCGTCTCTCTTTCCTCTTAGTTTACGTCTCTCTTTTCATCGTTTCTCTTTCCGTCTTTTTTTTTCTTTTCAAACTTTACACTGTCTCACTTTCCGCTTTACCGCCGTCTCTCTTTTCATCTATCTGTTTATCGCTGTCTCACTTTTCTTCACTTTTTTTCTTGGTCATCTCTCTTTTTCATCATTACGTCGTCTCTCTTTCCTCTTACTTTACGTCTCTCTTTTCATCGTTTCTCTTTTTGCTTTTTTTTTTCTTTTCAATCTTTATATTGTCTCTCTTTTCGCTTTACCACTGTCTCTGTTTTCATCTCTCTCTCTCTTCGCTGTCTCACTTTTCACCTTTTCGTCATCTCTCTTTTTTTACTCACTTCACCCCTTATTTTAAATCACGCCATACCTTTTGTCTTTTCGCTGTCTCTCTTTTCGAATTTTCACTCTCTCTCATTTTTTATTTAATCCGTCTCTTTTCTCCGTCGTCTCTCTTTCTGTCTTCTCGCGGTCTCTTTTTTTATCTTTTTAATTCTTTGCCTTTCATCTTTCTGTTACTTTTTAATCTAAATCTTGCCGTATCTTTTGTCTTTTCACAGCCATTCTTTTCGCGTTTTCCCTGTCTCTATTGTAGATTTTCACTGGCCGTCTTTTCGTCTGCTCGCCGTCTGCCTTTAAACTTTTTTTTACTGTCCTTATTTTAGGCTCTTCGCTGTCTCTCTTCATATTTTTGCTATCTCACTTTTGGTCGCTTCATCATCTAGATTTGAATCATTCCATCCGTTTTTGCATCTCCACCGCATTTTTGTTTCGTTTGTTTTTAATTGTTTTTCTTTCTCTCTTTTCAAATCTTTTTTTTTTTTTTTTTTACCGACTTTTGCTTATTTTTACAATTTATTTTTATTTATTTCTTTTGGTCTTTAATCTTCTTCTTTTTTTTTTTCCTCTCCTCCATTTTGTTCATTTTTCATTACCTCTTAGCTAATTTTATTCCTAATCCACGACTTCGTTTTTTTTTTATCGTCTGTTTCTCTCATTTTAACACTTTGCATCGTTTTTATACAACATGTCTGTCTCTCTATCTATTTCTTTCTATCGTTTTCGCAAGATATTTTTTAATGTTTTTTAACACTCTTTTTTTTAAAAAAAAAAAGAGATTTCGTGGCAACTACTTCCTTACGTCGAAGAAGAAAGAAAAAAACGGAAAGAGAAAAGCAGAGTCCAGCTTATGGATATACATCGTTTTCTAGCAGGCTTCGTAACAAACTCCACCCCCCCCCAACACCACCACCAGCAGCAAAGGCCGTGTAGCTTTTGCTCCTAGTCTGACCGGCAGGGCAACCGACCAGACCCTTAAATCTGCAAACGAATCATCATTTTTTAGCCCCAGGTGACCCCAGAAAAAATTAGAGAGTCATAGATCTTTGATGAAGCGAAACAGATAAACTGTCGTCCCAGTTCTTCTTTTTTTTTTTTTTTTTTTTTTTTTTTTTTTTTTGGCAAGTTCAGCCTCCGGACATTTTAGTGTCCAAAGGTTGGAGGCAGGAGTTTACGGTGGGTGCTGTGGGTCAGGAAGAGAAACAAGTTAAGATTGAAGAGTAAAAATGTCAAGGATGCCTGATGTATTTTCTTCTTTTTTTTTATATTGTTACTCCCAAGACAACGGACATCTTCGAATGCTGAGAGTTGATTCTGATTCACAAGTTTTCTTTTCAAAACTGGCTCCTAAAATGTTTAACTAGGATTTGTTGTTTGGCGGTGGGTCGTGGTGCCATGGATTGTACTTGCAGATTGGGTCAGATCCTGGAGGAAGGTGATTAAGCGTTCGGTGCATATAGAAGTAGCAGTCAAGATGGGGTTAGCTAGACAAAGGGGAGGAGATGTTCAAGTGTATAAAGGTGAAAAATCATCGTCCACACACGAAGGTGTTCATCGTCACAGCATACAGGGAAATATGACCATATATTTACGTCTTTTTCATCACCTTTCCCTTTATTTATCTGCGCCTGATTATTGAATATACATTATTACTTAAATCTTAATGCAGTTCTGTTAATAACTTTCTTCAATGGCATATGAAATCCATATGGATTATTTAATGTCAAAATTTAATTTTCTTGTGGCCTTTGAAGTAATAAAAATATATGTTATTCTGCCTTCACAATAGAATACATGGTAGATGATACTCAGCTTTTGTGCATATACATGTTTGTGTAGACATAATTACTAGAAGCCGTCATCTGTGTGTTTTATATTGCAGTTTTTTTGTAGTTATATTATTTAATACAGTCTTTTTTTTAAAGAAATTGTAGGATTAATACGGATTAATGCCATGAAAGAATTATTTCATATTGATTGTTTGGGTGATTGATTGGGTTTAGCGGCATATCAACACCTCTATGGGTTATTTAATGTCAAAATCTAAATATTTTGAAAAACAATTTTATTGCTTCAACTAAATATATTTTGAACCTAATTGCATGAGTTCAACTATAGATAAAATATATTGTTAGTAATTCTACTATAAAATGTCTTGCTGGTCATTTTGCAAAAGTATGCTTTGTTGTTAATTTTACTATAAAAATGTATTTTTGTACTTACATGGGGATTTGTTTTTGATTCGGGGGTTCATAATTTGCTGATAGCTGGGGCCCTAACAGGTGCTACCAACCTGGGTCAGGGTGGACCCGGGAACAACAAAAATTAAGAGGTGATTCCATGTTACTCAAAACCTTCAATATGCCGATCAGAGGTCTTGCTGCCTGGTGTAGTTTATCGTCATACCCAGAAATTCTGTTAATAATTGTATCATATTGCGAACATTAATGAAAGGCGATGAAAAGATTCGTGTATGCACAAATGAATGTACCTACAAAAAAACGATGCTTAATTTTTAAAATGCATTTAAAAAAAAATAAAAATCTTCCTTGAGTCTTTTATTCTGTGATATTTTAAACTAAAAGTACGTAGTATTTGTTTCTAATGATTAATTAAACTTTACATCGGCTAATTTTATTTCAAATAACGTTTCAGAACAGCATATTTTATTTTTGAAAGATTTTTAATAATATGAATTAAGTCGCGTTGACAGATTTGTCAATATGGACAAATTTATTTTACTGAAAACCAGGAAAAAATGATTCCAATAAATTTAATTACGATATGAATTACAGCAAAGTAACTTACTCATTGGAAATATTAAATTTAATCTATTAGCTTAGAATAAAAATTAAAATAAAAGCTTCCCTAAATTCCAGCCTGTGCAAAGTTCTGTGCGGTGGTCAAAAGTGCTTGCTTCGCTATAACTCGCTTTATGTGTTTTTTTTTTTTTTTTTTTTTTTTTTTGGTTTTCACACGAAGCAAGGCAAGAGTGCCAATAGCAGACAAAGGGTTACAGAGGATTGAGAGCAAGAGTAAAGAGGCGTGAGAGAGTAAAAGATGAATAGAAGTACGGGGAATAGATCAAGGCATCTGGAGATGTAATTTGCATTTGAATATTTGGAGATTATAGCTATCAGGGAAGCAAGTAAGCGGAAGGGAGTTCCAAAGAAGGGAAGTGTAAGACATGAAGTTATTGGAGTAAAAGAGACGGCTACATATAACCATTTCGACAATGAAAGGGTGGAACCGAGAGGCCGACTTAGTGGCACGTTGAAATACATGCAATTTGAGAACTAGCGAAAATAGCTCGTCGAGGTAGTTACCCTGAAAGTATTTGTAGAAAAGACAGAGGGAGGCGACAGCACGTCTGTGAATGAGCGAGTGCAAACAATATGCCAGATCAGGGCCATATGTTTCAATAGTATGCTGAGGATACCATGGGCCGAATATATGAGCGACGAAGATGCTTTAGAGAAAATGGAAACGAAAAAGAAACTTATACTTAACATCAGTAAGTGATAGTTGAAATTTCTAGGACTCATATTGAGAAAAGAGGGGTTGGAAAATCTGATACTCACAAAACTGATTGAGGGCAAGAGGAAAACAACGCATAACATGAGTAAATGGATGGTGAAACATGGTTTAAGAAAAATAGCAAAAAAACAAAATTTATTAGGAGTCAAGCGTCGTGAAAGCGAGTTTGTGGTGTGACCAACATAAATATCATTTAGTCCGTTGGAGATACAATCTCCCAAAGGGCACTTTTTAGGCATTTAAAACAACATGCCTGGCCGCACACACAATTCCGGACAATCCTCGTTGAAAACACAACTATACTTAAACATGAAAACAATAAACAAAAACTAAAAATTCTTGAAACTATATACATAAAACGGTTTAAGCCTAACCTGAACAAAATAAACTATGAAAACTCCACAAATATAATCAAATGTCTAAAATTGAAAACAGAATCCATTGGTTTATACTAACGGCTTCCCATACTTAACAATTCTCGTTTTCACTCTCGCGTGACGTCTTGAGCCGCGGTGCGATTTTTGCTTCCAGCGTCTCGTATGCACGCTTTTGTTGTTGCTTGGAAATCTTCCATGCAAACAAAAACAGACTATCATTGTTGCTATGTCCGTATATTGTTTAATATTAAATATTAATGTTTTTGTCATCTTTGATGATGGCTTATGTAAGCCGAAAGCTTAGGTAGGATTAAAAAACATGTATCAATATGGTGATTTTCGTTTTTCTTTTAATGATAATGCTATTAAGCTTATCAGACAATATGAAAGGAATTTGCATAAAATAAATAAACAAAACTTTCCATATTATTTAATAAAATATGCATCAATGAAAAAATGCTGCCTAAATACATACAATTTATATATATATATATGTGTGTGTGTGTGTGTGTGTGTGTGTTTAAGTGGCAAATTCTCATTTAGGCATGTTTGATTGAATAAATTACAGACAGTTTGTCTTCTAATTTTTAATAAAATCCGTTCATACTCACGAATAACCTTTCGTGTATTGATGTTAAAGGATGAGAGAA